TGTTATACTTTTAAGAGCTTTTAAACTCGAGTTGTAGGAGTTTAAAACGGCGCCTCATGTACGTTCATGACATCAGTGAGGGCAAACAGCCAATGAGCTGCTCCACTCGCCAACCAATCAGCACTCAGTAGCAGTAATGCTAACCAATCAGTGCTCAGTAGCAGTAATGTCAACCAATCAGCGCTCGGTAGCAGTAATGCTAACCAATCAGCTCTCAGTAGCAGTAATGCTAACCAATCAGTACTCAGTAGCAGTAATGCTAACCAATCAGCACTCGGTAGCAGTAATACTAACCAATCAGCACTCAGTAGCAGTAATGCTAACCAGTCAGCGCTCAGTAGCAGTAATGCTAACCAATCAGCGCTCAGTAGCAGTAATGCCAACCAGTCAGCGCTCAGTAGCAGTAATGCTAACCATCAGCTCAGTAGCACCATCAGCTCAGTAGCAGTAATGCTAACCAATCAGCACTCAGTAGCAGTAATGCCAACCAGTCAGCACCCGGTAGCAGTAATGCCAACCAATCAGCACTCAGTAGCAGTAATGCCAACCAATCAGCACTCGGTAGCAGTAATGCCAACCAATCAGCACTCAGTAGCAGTAATGCCAACCAATCAGCGCTCAGTAGCAGTAATGCTAACCAATCAGCGCTCAGTAGCAGTAATGCTAACCAATCAGCACTCAGTAGCAGTAATGTTAGCGTCCTGCTGCCCAAAACCCGTTTACTGTATAAAAAGGAAACATACAGGTGAGATTTCTTTGCTGTTTTACTGAAATCCTACTGTCTAAAGTGATTAGAAACTATTTTAACTCTTCGTTTTTAGCCGTTGAGCTCCATTCACTCCCATTCATTGAGGACTCGCTCGTGGGCGCCCTCTGCTGATCAGCAGTCCTGTTTTTGATATAACGGGGGAAATAGGAAGCGGCCAGACTCCTCATAAACCGGCTCTGGGAAAGCCTCCTGAAAAATCATGTTTTTGTGTTACTGAGCCAAACACTACAAACTATTTATGAAGTTTTTGTCAAATTTTGATTTCAAATATTTTATAAACATTATTTTGACCTTCAGTTTTGAGTATTTTGGTCTGTCCCCATTCAAACAGAGAGGAGTCTGGTCATGTATGGCTGGAAATAACTGCCCGGCGGTGTGGCAAAGAGGGCCGCCAAGTGAACTCAATAAGCTGAACTTAGTTCTGCTGTAAACTGCACCCATTGCTCACTTTGCCAACCACAGACTCGACTCTGCAGTGTACACATCTGCAGATTCAGCAGGTTGCCCTGGCTCAGACACATGGGAAAGGCAGAGGTTCACTTTGCTTCTCAGCTTCCTGTTCAGTGTGTAAGACAGAAACACAAATATATGCCTTGCTTTGTTATCACATACAGTCACAAGCAAATGTTTGTACACCCCTCATGAAATGTACGTTTTATTTATTTTCTAAGTGGAATTAAGTGAACAAATCCTCACACTTCTGCACATTTCATTGCAAAATTACTGTTTATTTGCTGAAATTAGCATATAAAAAAAATAAAACATATAACTGCAGACACATTTATATATTTTTAAATGTATACATATATACACTGATCAGGCATAACATTCTGACCACCTCCTCGTTTCTACGCTCATTGTCCATTTTATCAGCTCCACTTACTCTATAGGTGCACTTTGTAGTTCTACAGTTACAGACTGTAGTCCATCTGTTTCTCTGATACTTTGTTAGCCCCCTTTTACCCTGTTCTTCAGTGGTCAGGACCCCCATGGACCCTCACAGAGCAGGTACTATTTGGGTGGTGGATCATTCTCAGCACTGCAGCAACACTGACGTGGTGGTGGTGTGTTAGTGTGTGTTGTGCTGGTCTGAGTGGATCAGACACAGCAGTGCTGCTGGAGTTTTTTAACACTGTGTCCACTTACTGTCCACTCTATTAGACACTCCTACCTTGTCAGTCCACCTTGTAGATGTAAAGTCAGAGACGATAGCTCATCTGCAGCTGCACAGTTTGTGTTGGTCATCCTCTAGTCCTTCATCAGTGGTCACAGGACGCTGCCCACAGGACGCTGTCAGCTGGATATTTTTGGTTGGTGGACTATTCTCAGTCCAGCAGCGACACTGAGGTGATTAAAAACTGAGGTGATTAAAAACTCCACTCAGACCAGCACAACACACACTAACACACCACCACCACGTCAGTGTTACTGCAGTGCTGAGAATGATCCACCACCCAAATAGTACCTGCTCTGTGAGGGTCCATGGGGGTCCTGACCACTGAAGAACAGGGTAAAAGGGGGCTAGCAAAGTATGCAGAGAAACAGATGGACTACAGTCTGTAACTGTAGAACTACAAAGTGCACCTATAGAGTAAGTGGAGCTGATAAAATGGACAATGAGTGTAGAAACAAGGAGGTGGTCAGAATGTTATGGCTGACTGATGTATATATTGTGTGTTAGTAATTTGCAGAAAAATGCCATCTTTGAATTTGCTTTAGAAGATGTGTTCTTATTTTCACTTCACACAGAAAATCAACAAACCGTGTAATCTGACTGGGGGTGTTGGGTGTTTGTTGTTAGCAATCTGTAACTCCACTAAGACATCCTGAACTGTTGATAAAGCAAATGTTAATCAATACTGACATCTAGTGGTTCTCAACAGAATCACATAATCTCTTGTTGAGCCCTTTTTTAGGCAGCTGTGTTGACTTCTTTTTCCACTGTATTCCTGTATGACCATAGAATTCCCATTTAAAGTATATTAGAATTGCCATCATAATAACAAAGGCTAAAAAAGTAAGAAACCAAGAAAGTGTTAAAAATATTTGGAACCAGGGTTCCCTCAAGACCGGCCTTGAGACTTATGAGTTAAAAAGAGTTAATAAAATACACCAATTTTAGTAACACACATATAGACATTTTATTTACTATCCAGAACCACCAGTGAACCTCCACGAGTCTTCTGAGTTTATATGGAATGTTGATGATGGGAAAATAGTGGAAAATCTTAAAAAAAACTTTATTTTGGGGACTATTTTGCCTCACAGCGCCCTGCATATATTCCTCCACCATGAATGGATTAAAAACATGTTTTAGGCGCAAAACCTTCTCCAGACTATCATAAAACAGTGTCTCAGACATCAGGCAGTGAATTCATAACCATTTCATGTAGTAACTTTCTGTGAGGGAGCTTTTAGAGGTGGACGTCTGGTTCCTATCACCACCACTGTGAACAATTCTGATTCTGTAAGTTTCTCTAGAACGGAGCGTTTCACACCAAACCACTCTGAACGACTCTGTTTACATCTTAACCAAATTTAATTATGCAGATATTTTGAAAAAGCTGTTTAAATTCCCCTTTAATGTTAGCGTCTCTGCTTTAATGCACTGGAATCACAGCTACATGCTGGAAAGCTGGTGCAGACTGTCTGTCTGGAAGAAAGACAGCAGTGAAGAACAACGACTCGGCAATTGACAAACATTTCATGCATGCTAACTGCCCTTTATTATGTTAAATGTCAGTCCCAGTGGTGACATGCACTGGATAATGTGTGGGAGTAATGACTCTGTAGGCCTGGGGTGGTCTGTACCTTTAACAGGGGGTCCTTGTTCTGGAGAAGTAAGAAAGTCACCGTTTTAAGCCGTCAGATTATCATGTATTTCTCACATTCCATCTTGTGGTGTGAAATACCTTTAGTGTGGCTTTTGTTTACAAGCAGCCCAAAACTCAAAGGGGAACTTCACCGATTTTCACAAAATTTCTGCATAATTAAATAGATAAGAGTTTGTAGACAAACTCATTCAGAGCGGTTTGGTGTGAAACGCTCTGTTCTAGAGAAACTTACCGAGTCAGAACTGTTCACAGTGGTGGTGATAGGAACCAGACGTCCACCTCTAAAAGCTCCCTCACAGAAAGTTCCTACATGAGATGGTTATGAATTCACTGCCTGATGACTGAGACGCTGTTTTACTTAGTTTTGAGCTAAGGATTAGGCCTAAAACATGTATTTTAAAAGCCATTCCTGGTGGAGGGATATATGCAAGGCGTTGTAAGGAAAATAGTCCCCCAAAATCTTTTTTTTTCAATATTCCATGTAAAAACTCGGAAGGCATGTGTAGGTTCACTGGTTGGTTTTGGATAGTAAATAAAATAACTATATTTTTGTTGAAGTCATGGCAACCCCTGGTTCCTACAATCTCTACAATCAACCATTTCACACCAGACCACTCTGAATCACTCTGTTTACATCTCAGCCTCTGAATTATACAGACGATTTTGGAAGACACTGGGTGGAATTCTCCTTTAACAAACAAATCCTCATAAACATGTCTATGCAGAAGCTTGTTAAAAACTTAACTTGAATTATCTGAACGTTACATTTTTTAAAGTTTGTGAAAATGTAAACGCTCACCCAGCAGCACAACTAAATTAAAAATGTAAAGTAAATGAAATAGGATCACAAGGTTCTATAGCTTATGTATAATGTAGATAATGATAAAATAGAGGTAAATCAGAAAAAAAAATACAATACTGTTTTGCCTTTTATCACCTTGTTTCTACTGCTCCACCAGGAATGGATTAAAAATGTTTTAGACTGAAACTTTTAATAAATAAACGCTCATAAAACGTACGCAGAAACGTGTTTAAAGGTTTAGACTCGTCTAGTCACGTTACCTAATTAATTTGCAAAACAGGACTTTTATTTAATTTTATTTTATTGATGCAAAACAAAGCATCGCACGCACACAAAACCTTTAATAAATAAACGCTTATAAAACCTACGCAGAAACGTTTAGTCATATTACATAATTAATTAGCAACACAGGACTTTTATTTTGTTTCATGTCATCTCATTGATACAAAACAAAGCATCGCACGCACACTAAACCAACACAAAACCAAAAATCAAACGAATAAATAAATAACTGAAAGCTGGATTGTATCCAGGAGTATCCAAAAACAAAAGAGAAATTAAAATAAAGCGCAGAGACGGAAAAAAAAGGCGCCTTTCTTCTTGTTTTTTAAATCGTCTGTGCGCGGCATTCTCTCCACACACGTAGCAACGTGACGTTTCGCGACGGCGAGCCCTTTCATTGGTTGTGAGGCGTTTAAAGGTACCGCGCTGCGCTCTGATTGGCCGGCAGCTTTTGGACGCGAAATTCAAACGTTTCGGTAAAGTGGCGCTTTTACTCTCCTCCCGCTTCAGTTCGGCAGAGCCGGGTTTGCCGCCTAGACTCGCGATGTGGAGCTAAGGTGTCGATTTAAGACGAGAAAAACGACATCGAGCCATAAAAATCCCCTGATTTACTCCCGAGGTAAGATGTGCCGCTTGTTTCGCAGGAGTTTGTGCAGCATACGTTGCATTTTCTCCATTTCTTGTTCCAAACTCCCCGTTCCACCTTAAGTAGTACGGGCGCCAGAATGGAACTGCTGCACCACTTAAGGTGGAACGGAAAGTTCGAAACAAGAACCTTCGTGTTTTTACTTCATCTTTTGTTCTTGTTCACCTGGAACTGTTTTAAGATGCATATTAGCAACGAGACTCATGCATTTTTCATTTTTTTAAGTCTAAAGTTTTATAAAATGGCTCTAAATGAGGCGCTAAAGCTAGTTTAGCTTTGAGTTTCGTCTGCTAGACTGGCGATTGGCGCGTAAATGACCTTAGATATGCAGTTAGGTGCTAAAGTAATGTTTTAGAAGAGCTTTAAATAAAGCAGAATGCTTATTTTACAGCAGTAAGAGCAGCACAGATGTGTATATTCCTCTTTTAACGTGTATTAACTAATATTAACACTGCACAACATGTTGAAGTTAGTAGAGCTAACTTGGTTAGGAGACCAGCTAAGCTACATTATAGCATGTAAACAGGATAAAAGTTTATACACTAGTTATATAACGTGTTACAGATTTGTTGTGACTAAATAGCTGGTTAACAAATGTGTTGTAAGTTGGTAAACCAGCCACACAGCTATTGTAGCTAATGTCTGAGCTTATTAGTAAATGGTGGCTAAACATGAGGTAGTATCTACCTAGCTCTGAAAGGGGAATTCCACAAAGTTTTCAAATTTTTGTAAAAATCAACCCTTGAGATGTAAACATTGTTTTTTGGAGTGGTTTGATGTGAAATAGTTGAATTGAAGAGACTCAGATTTATTTATAGTGGTGGTGATGGGAAGCAGGGGTCACTATGTCTACACAAATATAACCATTTTAGTCACTATCCACAGCCATCAGTAAGCTTACACATGTATCTCACATGTATGAGTCTTTCTATGGAATGTTGATGGTAAAATAGTGGGAAAATCTGGAAAGATAAGTTTTCTTTAGGGGCCATTTTGCACCCCCTGCATATATCCCTCCATCATGAATGGCTTTTGAAATACATTTTAGGCTTCAAAACTTTAATAAAATGAAGTCTCAGACATCAGGCAGTGAATTCATGACCATTTCATGTAATAATTTTCTGTGAGGGGAGCTTTTAGAGGTGGATGTCTGGTTCCTATCACCACCACTGTGACTCGTTTCTCTAGAATGGGGCACTTCACATCAGGTCACTCCTAATGACCTTTTTTGGCTAATTTACATCTTAACCATTTTATTACGCACAAATTTTGAGAAGTTGGTGGATTTCCACTTTAAACCACCTCATGTTAAATGACTTATTTTGATTGAGCTTTAGAGATTCTTTTTCAGTTCAGTCAGACTAACAGAGCTGCATTTGACAACTCCATGTATGCTTATCAGTGTTATTGTTCACTGTTTTCTAGTTTTGGCCTTCTGCTGGGACCACGTAGTCAACCAATATGAAGTGTCTCGCCCTGACTAGAGGTTCAGCAGGCTCTCTCTGTGCAGAAAAGGATAAAGTGGAGCCTCCAGTGGTGTTAAAGGGCCAAACAGCACCACTAAGCACCAATGGCTCAGGGCAGGTCACGCCTGCTGTCTCCTGCCCCACAGAGGAACATCTGAAAGGCCCTCACAATAAAGAGAACTGCAGAGAAAAGCGCTGTTCTGCTGACTTGCCCTCTGACGACGAGGTCATTCTGAGCAGTTCGAGCCTGGCAGAGGACAGCGGCTACCTGTCGCTCCACAACAGCCAGATAGAACATGTGGACACTGCAGAAAGCTCAGAGAGATGTGCAGAGCAGAGAGACTCCACGGTGTCATCAGGCACCCATTCAGACTCTAATTCTTCTTGCCTGCCTGTACTTAAGTTCCAGGAGGAGGTGTGCAAAGCGCTGGCGAACAGCTACAGAAAAAGTCAAAGCTACGACTGGACTGTCGTTGACAGGATAGCTGAACTCCACGGCCTTCAAAATGTCATTGGAGGAAAGATGGGGCTGGAGCATGTGGACATTCTCTGTGGTCTGCTGCAGAAGGACATGAAGCACATCCTTACCAGGATCCTGGGCCTGCTGGGGGAGAGCGACTTGATAAGGTAAATTCGTGGATTTACATTAACACTAGTTTGCCATTCTTTTTAAATACGCACCGTTTCAGTGTGCCCTAAAAATCTGCTCTTGTCGACAGCTGTAAGAGGGTGAGCAAGACGTGGCGAAAAATCATTTGCCAAGACGACAGAGCTCTTCAGAGATGCAGGAACGCGGAGAAGATGCGGAGGGTGAGTAGTTCGTCGTCACTGGATGCAAAAAGAAAATTGATCTCGTTTTGTCGTCTCTCATCTCACCTGTCCTGTTTATTTTGTTTAATTGTAGGACTCGGGAAGATCCATGGGGTCTCTATCCAGGGACTTTTGTCTAAGCAGGGTGGTGCTCTCTTGCCTCCAGACGAGAGTAACCTCCTCCACCCCTGTCCACAAAGCCAAGAAGGCCCTGACCCAGACAGATAGCACTGTAGCCACGCCTAAGACAGGCCGCTTTGCGGAGTTTCATGAGGTGAGCATGAATAATAATAATAATTTTGCTTAAGTAAAATGCTTGATGAAATTTGTATGATTGGCAGCTGCAACAGGCATTCAGTTTATCACTTTCAGCACTGATAGAAGCTGCAGCATCTTGGGTTTTAGTTTGTAGCAACATTCAACATCGTCCGTGTGTCTGTAAGCTGATTTTTGATATTTTGTCCGACCTGTTTGCAGTATTTACTGTAGCTTCTTATGTTTGTGTAATTCGACACAAATCAGAGCTGCAATGAGTTACAACAGGGCTCGCACAGTTCTGTTCTGGCGGGTTTGTGTTCAGCTCAGTTTGGGGATTTTCCTGCTGCGACCTTCCTAATCTTATCTCCTGGTTGCTTCTTCAAGGTTTTCTTTAGTAAAGGAAATGGTTTATTTAGGCTCTTATTTATAGAACCATCTGCGTGGTGAAATGGTTCTTCAGATTAATGGAGAAGCCTGACAATGTAATAGAAGAACCCTTTTTGGTGCTATATAGAACCATTTAAAAAGATCTATGTAGAACTATATGCAACCTTCTCCATCCATCTAAAGCATGAAATGGTTCTAAGTGGAGCCATTGCCTTTACTAAAGAACCATCTTTAAGTGTGTTGGGTTAAAACTAGAGAGAGCACAGTACTGCTTTATCTTTTCTGATACAGATAATAAATATTGGGTGTCAGATGATACTAATTCAACGTTTCTTTAAAAACAAACTACTGAAACAATACACTAATCCAGACAGCATGACATCACACTGTTAGTGTATCATGATACTTTGAGACATTATCACAATACATGATATGAACCGTGATATTATGTAATAGTTATAACAGACAAAATAGAACTTGTAGTGCCACTTTTTTAATTGTAGTAGTGATAAAAATAATAATCCTACTACAATTATTTTTAATCAACATTTTACAAAATACACTGCACAAAATCCAATTAAAGAGGCTTAATTATGCTCACTTTGCAATAATACTTGTTAGTGTTGTACTGATGATATCTGCAGTATACTCACTAAGACATAATCTGTCACAATAGCATATCATATTACCCAGCCTCAGTTCAAGCCAGAGCAGTTTATAGACAATAACTGCAATTTAAACCTTACAATATTGGCCAAAAATTGCAATGAGATTTTCTTCAAACCGATTTGAAATTTCTCACATTGTTCTGTGGAAACTGAATATTCTGTGACTTGGGTTCCGGCAAGGAAGAGTCTGACCCTGACCTGTAGCCTTTTACTAATGACTTACTTTATTTAATCTTTCTTTCATTAATTTTCCTCCCTGTTCTGCCAAATTTAACGTTTCCTTTTGCTTCTTTTCACCAGGCTACCAAATCGCTAAAAAGCCACGAATCTCTGAGAAGTTGTCGGCTCTGCGGTTCTCCGGCGCGGTTCGACTCTGCCATGCAAAGGGCCGTTTGCATGCGGATTAGCTGTGCCTTCGAGTTCTGCTCACAGTGCCAGTCGGCCTACCACGGCTCCGCTCCCTGTCAGCGGGGCATGATCCGGGCGTCGCCACGCTCCCAGACTGTTCCTGTCGCAGGTTCTGCCCGCAGTAAACGCAGCATCCGGCGGCTCTGAGCTCCACCAGTTGCACCACTTGCACCTTTTATTTTTTTTAAAAAAAGAAAACTGCCTTTATCTCTGAAGTTACAGACTTTTATGAGCAACTTTTTATAACAGACTTTTTATAACAGTCTCGCTGTTCCTCAGTGTGTCCCCAATGTGAAGTGATGTGGGTCACCCTGCCAGTGGTCCTTGCACACATTTGTAAAGTACTATCATACTGAATGCCAAAAAAAATGTCTGAGAGGACTGAACAGCCCTCTCAACGATTTAATGTTTTATAAGATTTTTATAAATATTGTGAATGTTTTAATGAAATAAACAGTCTGTCTATCGTGTCAGTGCAAACTGTAAATACTTACATGGCTGAATAAAAGTCCTATATTTTTAAGCTTGTGTTTCTTGATTTCTTTAGGCAAATGGAAAAAGTATTGAGCCTAAAATGGATCATTCAGAGTGGTTTGGTGTGAAACGCTCTGTTCTAGAGAAACTTACTGAGTCAGAACTGTTCACAGTGGTGGTGATAGGAACCAGACGTCCACCTCTAAAAGCTCCCTCACAGAAAGTCACTACAGGAAATGGTTATGAATTCACTGCCTGATGACTGAGACACTGTTTTATGATAGTTTTGTGAATGTTTTTAATCTGTTCATGGCGTAGGGTGTTTTTGTGATTAGTTTTGATTTACTTGATTTAGTTTTTAAGAAGATTTTGGTCTAAAATACTTTTTTTAAAATAAATGTATAGCGGAGGGATACATGCAGAGTGTTTAGACAAAATAGTCCCCAAAGAAAACGTATTTCGGATTTTCCACTAATTTACCATCAACAACATTTCATATAGACTCAGAAGACATTTTTGTCTATATTTGAGTTGTAGACTGATAAATCAATGTGATCAGTTATTAATCTCAGTGTTACTGAGCTCTGCTAAAGCCTGAGTAGACTGATAAATCAATGTGATCAGTTATTAATCTCAGTGTTACTGAGCTCTGCTAAAGCCTGAGTAGACTGATAAATCAATGTGATCAGTTATTGATCTCAGTGTTACTGAGCTCTGCTAAAGCCTGAGTAGACTGATAAATCAATGCGATCAGTTATTAATCTGAGTGTTATTGTGTTACCGATAGGAGCAGTAGTGGGATTATGGGAGCTGCAAAAGGATTATGGGGCAGCTCAGGGATTATGAGAGCAGTAGTGCGATTATGGAAGCAGTAGTGGGATTTTGGGAGCAGCAGTGGGATTATGATAGCAGCAGTGAGAATATGGGAGCTGCAAAAGGATTATGGGGCAGCTCAGGGATTATGATAGCAGCAGTGAGAACATGGGAGCAGCAGTGGGATTATGATAGCAGCAGTGAGAACATGGGAGCAGCAGTGGGATTATGATAGCAGCAGTGAGAACATGGGAGCAGCAGTGGGATTATGATAGCAGCAGTGAGAATATGGGAGCAGCAGTGGGATTATGATAGCAGCAGTGAGAACATGGGAGCAGCAGTGGGATTATGGGAGCAGCAGTGAGAACATGGGAGCAGCAGTGGGATTATGATAGCAGCAGTGAGAATATGGGAGCAGCAGTGGGATTATGATAGCAGCAGTGGGAATATGGGAGCAGCAGTCGGATTATGATAGCAGCAGTGAGAACATGGGAGCAGCAGTGGGATTATGGGAGCAGCAGTGAGAATATGGGAGCAGCAGTCGGATTATGATAGCAGCAGTGAGAACATGGGAGCAGCAGTGAGAATATGGGAGCAGCAGTCGGATTATGGGAGCAGCAGTGAGAATATGGGAGCAGCAGTGAGATTATGGGAGCAGCAGTGAGAATATGGGAGCAGCAGTGAGAATATGGGAGCAGCAGTGAGAATATGGGAGCAGCAGTGGGATTGTGGGAGCAGCAGTGAGAATATGGGAGCAGCAGTGAGAATATGGGAGCAGCAGTGGGATTATGGGAGCAGCAGTGAGAATATGGGAGCAGCAGTGGGATTATGGGAGCAGCAGTTAATCATCTGTAGCACCCTTTTACCATTACTGCATTTCTCTTTAAATGTGCTGGACTGTATTATTTATGTATTTATATTTTTACGTTAAACCTGTCCAGGGTGTTTCCCGCCTTCCACCAAATGAGCCGGGATAAGATCCAGCACTCCCTGTGACCCAGGAGGATAAGTGGGTTAGATGATGAACGAATGAATGAATGTTTATATTTATATATTTGTAGTAAAACCTTTTGTGAATCTGTTCTTCTGCATGTGAAGTGATCATGAAGTTATCTGGTTATTAGTGTGTTTGTCCTGTAGATGGCGCCACATTCCTTTGTTGCTGAATGTTTGCTTCTCCTTGAAAAACCAAAAATCCACAATGAGGTCTGTACTCGGTGCAGTTTCACTGTGGAGTCAAGGGAAGCGAAGCACCTTAGTTTCTGTCACAGTGTTGGTTTTTGATTTTTCTTATAAAAAGGTCTGGTTTGTATACGAAACATTTCTCTTCATCACTCAGCAGGGCCGATTCCCCAGCACAGACCAGCATGGCTGCTCACCAGCAAAACCAGCATATGTTGTGTTTTGGATGCTGACCATACTGGGTGACCAGCTAAACCACCGACAGACCCTCATAAACCAGTGTAGAAAATCACGAATGCATGCTGGTCTGTGCTTTTATTTCTGCAGGGATCATTACTTTGACTCTTTTTGTATCAATCAATCAATCAATCAATCAATCAATCAACCTTTATTTAAACTCGGAATACATTGAGGGAGAACCTAATTTACAATGTAGCCGAGTAATACAGGAATCAGGGATTGAGAAGTTGTACAGTAAAAAATAAATGAATAAATAAATCAATAAATAAATAAATCAAATGCAATAATTAGATAATAAAAATCATAAAAGTAAAATTTAATAATAAGAAGGTACCAATAAACTGTTAAATCAATAAACGATTAAAATTACAATATATATCAAGTAACAGAGCAGATAAGGATAAAATAAATAAAAAACAGAAACTAAAAAATAAAAGAAATAGATGTAAAACAATAAATTGACAATAATAAAATAAATAAAAAGAGTAAAAAGAACGGTAAAAAGTAAAGAGTTAAAAGTAAAAAGTAAACAATAGCTCAGACACTGCTAAAACATACCAAAAGTCATATTAAAAGTTGAGTGAAATCAAATAAAGCAGTGTCAGGCTGAGTGGAGCTGGTTAGAGACTAAAAGTTTAAATATTCTCTGACACCAGAGAGCGAAGTTTTAGTTTCCTGTAGTGAATTCCAGCCACTGGTGTAGCTAAAAGTAGATTTCCCAGCTCAGTAAAAGCTCTCGGCATCTGAAGGCTCCAATCACTGGAACGAGTCTGATAAGCTGCGTTATTTACACTGAGCGTTTCTGTGATCACGATGGCCAAAAAGCGCTTTATAGATAAAAATAAGCCAACGAGTCTCCCTGATGCACAGACAGAGACGACCAGCCATCCTTTTCAGATAGTATATAAATATCAGATATATCTGATATGTCCCACTTTCAGATTGTTGTAAGCTTATTATAAGATTACTTAACTTATTTCTAGACATTATTTACTTGTTTTAAGTGATTTTATCTCTAAATCATTAAAAAGAAATATGCTAGATGTAAGTATGCTGTTGTAAGAAACAGGCTAGAAACTGAATTATCTGTAAATATACTGAGTATACTGACTTAATAAAATCACTAAACCAAGTAAAATGTCTAGAAAGTGAAGTTAAATCTTGTAATAAGCTTAAAAAATGAGAAATTTTAGATATATTCACAAAATTTAAGATCATTTTACTTGACAAGTGTTGCAGGTATTTGATGAGAGTAGAACAAAATGAGCACAGCAGACTGAGCTCATCTCGGTTCCAGCTCTCCTTAAAGACCAAACACTGAAGAGTTCCACCTCTAAACTCTCAGTCACTCACTGAAAAACTAAAACCACAGTTTTTTCTTAGTGATTTTATATCTTTGTAGTCAGTTTTTCAGAGGACATTATAGTCTTGATTTTGTTTTAGTATTTCCCACACACACATACACATCATCTAAACCGCTTATCCTTCTGGGTCGCGGTGGAGTGCTGGAGCCTATCCCTAGCTTTCACTGGGCGGAAGGCAGGATACACCCCGGACAGGTCGCCAGTCCATCACAGTAGTATTTTCCATTATTTTAAAATTTTAATTATATTTAACAGTCACATTTTTCTCTGCTACACTCTTAAAAAGATGTTTTAAAGGTTCTTTAGTAAAGAAAATGGTTCTATTTAGAACCATGAACACTCACAGAACCGTTTGCATGATTAAATGGTCCTTTGCATGGGGAAATCGTTCTTCGGATTGAGAATGTGCTGTAGGTGGTTCTATATAGAATCTTATAACACCAGAAAGGGGTTCTGCTATTGTTACAATGTCATGCTTTTAACAAGAGAAGAACCCTTTTTGGTGCTACATAAAACTATTTTCAAAAACGTCCAATATAGAACCACCTACAGCGCATTCTCCATCAATCTGAAGAACCATTTCACCATGCAAAGGGTTCTTTGAGTGTTCATGGTTCTATATAGAACCATTTCTTTACTAAGGAACCCTTGAAGAACCATCTTTTCTGAGCGATTTACTGTGGCTATTTTTGTAAAATGGCTTCAAAAGCTCTGTCAGTTCTCGCTCTTTTATACCTTCAATGTTTTACTGTTACACTCTCAGAAATAAAGGTACTAAACTGTCACTGGGGCAGTTCTCCTCTTGTCACTGGGGTGAAACCCTCAAGGGTCCATCTCAGTACCTTCAGTCAGGGAACATAACTGAACCATAATCCACTGAAATGATATGTTCTAAGCTGTACTGACTCCACACACCCCGTCTCGTCTCCAGGCTTTTATTTTACTGTTCTGTTTAAAACATTCGGTTATGAAAAGGTACAAATACGAACTTTTCACCTGGAAAAACTTATTTAAGGTTCACAATCAGACCTTAGAACCACTGTTGGAGCTTTGAGGGAACATTTACACTGTTTGTACCTTGATGAACGAGAACTGTACCTGAACAGAACCTTTATTTCTAACAGTGTACACGTTAC